GGGGGGGGAAGGTGGAGAGTTTAAAAAGATTCACAAGTAAAGTGGGGTGCAGAAGAAACAGATCCACTGAAATACACTGCTGAGGGGGCAGGGGAGGTCAGGAGAGGTCTGCTGGGCCATGTGGGTCAGCTCTCCGGCTCCGGTGGGGGATCCAACTCGGGCAAAGGCTGCTGATCACCGAAAAGTGCTGACTTAGCCCTTTGCACCACCATGGAGGCCCCAAATATATATTTTTAACAGGATATTAAATCAGAAATAAAGATCAAAATAAGGTATATATAGCACAAATAGGTAAGAAAGTATTGTTAGTGTGATTATAAAGATAATTATAAAAGTAATGAGTAATTACAATCATATACAAATACATAAAATATAAAAATATAATTAATAAGTATGAACAACTACTGAGTAAAGGTAATACCGCATTAGAAGACTCCTGAGGAAACAATACTTACTGAAATTCAGGGCAAATAGATATGCAGTCAATATATGAAATTATTTACTCTCTCCATGAAGGAAATCTTACTGGAATCAAAACATGTGTTGTATTTCACCTATCAGATTGTCAACCTTGACGGCCTGCCTTGCTAGCCTATGGTTTAAGTCTCAGCACTATCAACACCTCAGCCTGACTTTCATCCCTACCAGGGAGCTGACCCACATGGTACACAGACCTCTCCTGTCTCTCCCGCTGCTCCCCTCAGCAGTGTGTTTCAGCACACCTGCCTGTTTTGCTCCCCACTTTGTCTCTGAAGAATCTTCTCTCTACTCCACCTCTGATCTACACCCAGCTCTTCTACACAAAGATAAATAGATAAAATCTTTAAAAAACAAACAAAAACCAAATAGTCAGTATTGAATAGAATGATAATATCAAATGATCGTGAAGATGCACAATTCCTAGAAGTCAAAATTAACCTTCTGAAGGAATTTGGTGTCATATTTTTAAAAAATATGTCTACACTTTTACCCAGAAAATTTATCTTAGAGAAATACCTGAGTAAATGCAAAGATTGTTCTTTGTTATAACAAAAAGTTGGGAATGAAATAACTTTTCAAAAGCAAAAGGAAACAACTGGAAAAATGTTTTCAATATATTGTGAAATTTTCAAAGTAGGTTAAAAGTCAGTCACAAAAAGATTCAGCTTTTAAATTACATGTTAGAAACAAAATTATAGAAGAATATTTATCAAAGTTACACTGGTTGATTTCAGATAGATATTATTTTGTTGTTTTCCATTCATCTTCTACAATTAGCATACATTATTTTATGCAGAAAAAATAGAATCTTTAAAAAAATAATATTCTTAGTACATAAACGGTAATTGGATGAATATTTTAGATTTATTTTCAGAATCAATAGTGTGAGGGGTGTCTGAATATGTGTCATGGAACTAACAACACCTGAGAGTCTTAAGATTACATGAGTGTTTGTAGTTGTTTGTAGGCACAATTCAAATAATCCTGATTTATTTATCGGGTGACCTTCACTTTATAGTAAGAAAATTGATTCAAATTTAGAAAGTTTCAGTTTACTAGCAAACTGAGACATTAAAGCTTGGATCCAGGCCTTCTTACTTCCAATCACAAACAGCTTCTAGTTATAGAAAAACATATAATTTTTTTCTCCTTTAGCATGTTACAATTCAGAACTAAACAAAACCTTAATGGTCAATTATTCTGGAAGTTGGCAAACTTTTCTGGAAAGGACATACAGTAAATATTTTTGGCTTTGCAAGTGATAGGGTTGTTTCAATACTTCATTCCACCATTGTATTGCAAAAGCAATTATAGACAATATGTAAGGGAATGATTCCAATAGAATTTTACAAAAACTGGCTGAAGACTGGATTTGGCCCATGAGGTAATCCCTGATCTTCTCTCCCTTAGTCTGATTTTTGAAAAGAAAACTGCAGTCTCTCTAGAGAGTTTATTAGACTTGTCCAAGGTTTTGGCTGGAGCCCAAGAATCTATTTTATTCTATTGTTTTTGATTCCAATATCTCTTTCTAATGAGCCATTTAATAATACCAGCCAAATTGACAAAGTTGGTATCTTCCCCATCCTCGGTATTATAATGCCTGAATATTATTTTAATTGGTATTTCTATGGTGCCAATCGGATTACTTTAACAAGTCCATAATGTCTTACAAAAGAAAATTTTATTGATTATATCATACTCTGGAGACTAGAAGTCAGTCTTTTCCCTGACTGTCCATCTGCCTTTCTTCAAACATTCTGCAGCATTCTTGAAATCTTTGAGAAGCAAACCTCACAGCAATAGTATTTTTAACTCTGGGAATAGCAGCTAAGACTCTCAACAGATCACAGGAAATCTTTGCTCCTTGTATGTCCCCCAGCCCAAGTTCCAGTATAGCTATGGTTCATTTTAAATTGATAACTGGTATATGGATACTACCCATCAAAATGTTTGTATGAGGTACTTTTTATTTTCTTAATCTTTGAAAAAGATGCACTATATTTACATAAAATAAAAAAATATATAAAACAACCAAGAATACTCCAAGTGCTTTTGATTTGTAATCCAAATATGGGTTCTGCTAGCAACCACAGTCAAAGCTGGTGCTTTGCTTCTGCACGAGAACCCTAGATTTGAGTTTAGTAAACCTATCTTTATTACATTTTCTGCTTCTTAAGGACTCTGTGTTTTATATTAAAGTAGGCCAGTTTTTGTTCCTCCACGGTGCTTGGCTTTTTAAATAGAAGATTATAAACAAGATAGGAAACTTTTCTGCTTAGAGTTATCCCCTCCACTGTTCGAGTGTCTGTGTTTCAAGACTTTAAATATTAACTTTATGTTAGCAATCCAGCCACATTGTTCCAATTTTCAATAAAATTTGATGAGATACATAATTCCAATTTAGTTGATGTTTCTCTTCATTGAAGAGGAAGTTGAACCTATTTGCACACCATTGTAAAATTCCCCTTTCAATTCAAGAGGGAAGCCACACAATGAGCCTTGTGGTCTACTATGTGTGACTGTCTTCTTGTTTTGTTCTCTTTGCTGTCACATGAGGTCTTTTATCATCATGTGGAGTGGTAACTTTAGCGGTTCTATAAGGAGACCACATGTGCAGAATGAGACTTATTATCAGGCAGTAACAGTGTTCTCCATTTGTAGCTGACTTAAAATAAATATGAAGTTAGAAAGGCAGAAATTACTTACCAGTTATGACTTACGAATACTCTAATGCTGCACTGGTGTTCATCAATAGAGAAAATACATTGGGAACTTCAGAGAAATAGTTTAAAAACCAAGCATTTTAATAATCAAGTGTTGAGGATCATTGAAAAAGAAAAGAAAAATATCAATCCTTTGCTTTTGGATACTTTGGAAAGTTTTCTAAACAATTGAGAAAACTCAGGGTGATAAAATTAGGCAAAGTATAAGAAAGAAAAAGGAAAAATCAAAACCTTTGAATAACTTAGAAAAAAATCAATGAACATTTTTATTAAACAAAGCCAAATGATGCCACGTCTCCTGTATTACATTTTAAAAAGAGTATGTCTATTTCATGTCCTTGATAAATTTCATATCTTTGTAGTCAAGAAAATATGTTTAAAGAAATTATACTAAATTAAATGAAAAATGGTGAATTTAACATGAAATCTAAATGCTCTTATAAGATACAATTGTCTTTATGGTGAGAAAAATTATTATTTTTATCTCAGTAAATGACAATGTATATGGACAGTTGTAACTAGCTTTGCTATATTATTTCATTGGTGATTATTATGGTGCTGCAATACAAGATGCCATAAGAAATATTTATTGATATAGTTTCATTGCAAAGAAGTAAGTTAATTTAAGGTTAATTTACCATAATTAGTGCTTACCTTTCTGTTAAATTTGTGCTCAAGAAAGAAAATATATATTCTAACACAAAATGGTAGTACATTTCTGAAATATTGATTCTATTTTCTCATTTTCTTTTTTGGTGATGGTTCCTTGAGCAGTCTCTTAAAGTGATATTTCCTATTTCCATAATAGAGTTTTTACAAAATTCATTCAAATATTATTTGATTAAGGTCCAAGTCAATACAATATTTTTCAGATGAATTTTACTTTATCAAATTGATGCAATTCTCAGCCTGATCTGTTTCTGCTTTCTGTTTTTACTGTAATCAAGTAAAATAACAGTGAACTATTGGGAAAGTCAAGTCCTTTTGGTCAATCAGTAAAAACCTGTCTATCCTAGAGTTGTTTTTGTATTAATCTCAACAAAGGGAAGCATTATTTCAAAACAAAGTGATGAGTAAAGGATCACGAAAGAACTTCTACTTGAAACCCATTGACTATATTATTGAATATAGAGAAGCACAGTGACATCTGCCTTCAGTTATAGTTACATGGGCCATCCAAGTCTTAGGACTGCCTTTAACACATTATAACACACAGTGATATGTTTTTGGAATATGGCACATAGAGGTTATTTTTAACATAATTATAGATGTGAATGGTCATTAAAATAAATTATGAAAAATAACACATTTTATGGCAAAATCAGAATTTTTCATGGTTTGTCACTTAATCTTAAGAAAGCTCAAAATAAACTACTTGAAGATTTCTGTTTGTTGCTCAGTTGTTCAAATTAGCCAATATTTCATTTAATTGCTAGTATGTTTAATTTGTTCAATGATTGACACTTCATTTCTTTACTGTTAAACATTAATATGAATCAACAAATGTTTCTCTAAAAGTATCTGTTAAGAAGAAATATTATGAAATATAACAGAAGAATAAAGAATTAGTTAATACTCCATTTTCACAGTATTCTAATTCCTAAATTTAAAGTATAAATCAATATGTGCAGTTACTATCCTTTTACTTGGAGTGTTGTTTTGTTTAATTTTGCAGATTGTTTTAAATTTTACTACTATGGACTTATATAAAAGCAGTTTGTGCTGGTATGATTACATTGAAGTCAGAGATGGATACTGGAGAAAATCTCCTCTGCTTGGTAAGAGATTATTTTATTTTCTTTATGAGTGGCTGTGCATAAATTCTACTCTATGAAAACAATTGATTCTTTTTTATTTTTATTAAGGCAACATAGGTCAAACCACTATATTATTCAGAAATACAGAATTCCATCTCCTCAGATGTCATTTTCGTCACCCTACCTGCCACTAAGGCACCCACAGTCCATTGTACCCTTTCCTCTTAGTTAAAGGTGTATGTGACCAACATTTTAATTTTTGTTCTTTTCTCACCTACCACAAAATAGTGACAGATAAGTAGGCTGACTTATTTAAACTAGCTTTGACATCGAGGTAGTCCTTGGATTTGATTTAATCATTGAGGATAATTTCACATGCCTTATGCTCAGTCACTCCTCATCACCATCTTTCTGTATTTTTAATTGAAGCATCAGAATTTTAATGAGAAAACCAGATAAACTGCATGTGTATGATTTGTTTTGTTTTGTTGTGCTAAGGCGGTGGGTGTGAGCCGACAGGCTCATGTCTGGGCTGGGCTTCCTGTGCCGAACATATTAGCTCGTTCTGGAGACATCGTGAGTTTGCTTCTCAGAGAGTTTTTGTGGCTGAGAAGCAGCTTTTGTAGGTTGTGTCATAAATGTAGCACAGATTTAGTGCTCGTGAAAGTCTACTGCCAAAGTTTAACCACAGACCACACCGTTAACATGCATGAAGCGTCTCAATGTTACCTTCTGTTTTACCTAAAGGTGAGAGTTGTGTGAGCTTGTTAGCATCTGCTCTTCATTGATTTTTTTCTTTTGAGATTGTGACTTTTCATTTATTTTTAGAAGGAGCTTTGCTCAGTGGTGTTTAGGTGCCATATAGAGCTGTTTTTTCTTAATATCTAGAATCTGCTGAATGGACATAATTGCATTAAGAGTGACAGCGGCTTTTTAAGTCTGAAATCTTTAGAATGCTTAAAAATGCTTAAAAATAAAGAAATATAAAGAACATAAAGAACTGAAATAATCTGATAAATCAGGCTAAGGAATACACTATGTTGAACATTCAGTTTCTTAGCTTCAGGGAAGTCATTTGTAATCTGTGTATGTACGTTACTAAGAAACGTTTCATTAAACTCCTATTGAAGAATTAAATATAAAGCTAAAATTTTGGGAAATGATGTCTTTTAGAGCTTTGGTGTCTAATAATCCACCAGACTGGTTCAGTCTGACCATGTTTTTCAGGTGAAAGCCTTTCTCCACCATTTCCTGAGATCTTGTTCCTCAAAAGTTAACTCTGAAACTGGCATCTGAATCTTCTGGAAGGTTTTCAGAAATGTCCAGACTCAGATCCTATGCTCCTACCTCTGAACCAACTACTGCATTTTAATAGATCTCTGGAAGTTCATAGGCACAGTTCTGTTTAAACACTGCTCTCTGCTACCTGCTCCAGATTTACTTTGCCATCTAAGAAGACATGACCTCACCTGTTAGATGTTAACATAAATGCATTTTTAGTTGACCGATGTTTTTCATGTACTGATGCCATGTATGATATCACAGCCAGCCACACACAAGAGAGCAGGGCATCTTGAGACCAGTTTTGAGACACTTGTTGTGGTCTTACTTGGATACCTTCATATTAGCAAAACTAGATCGTCTATGTTTACCATATACAATTGGTAACTAGTGTGGGAAGCAATTAGAATTCAGAACCACATTTATGAGTCTCTATTCTTTTATTTCTTCTAGGTAGATTTTGTGGGGACAAAGTGCCTGAAGTTCTCACCTCCACTGACAGCAGGATGTGGATTGAGTTTCGGAGCAGCAGTAACTGGGTAGGGAAAGGCTTTGCAGCCATTTATGAAGGTCAGTTGCATTGCGTCTTGGAGATGACATCCTCATAAAGCCCTAGCAGAAATATGTTTTCCATTGATTTCACTAGAATTATATTTCAGTCATGCCCTCATGATGAACTGTCTGAACCTGTACTATAACATCACCAAGGGTGATTTTAATAAAAGCATTTAATATTAAAATGCAAGATCAGCTTGTCTGGTGCCCACAATTTGGCACATAACTTGTCTGGTCCCAACAATTTGGTAACATTTTATGTACTCAAAGCTACTGGTGGTGGGGGAAAAGCCAACAAATAGCACGGGAGCTCTTAAAATTCAGTTTCTTCCATGATAATATTAAAATATTATGTGAAACGATGACTTTCTACTGAAGCTGTGTCTGTTGGTGTCTGTACTGTTGAAACACTCACAGGAAACAGCATAGAAAGTAATTGTGCGCATTTCTGGAGCCTGCTTTGTCTAAACGAAAGAGTCAGCATTCAAGAAAGAATTTACTAGATGCTTCTATGTTGCTCTAAAACAATAAACTGGCATTGTGCTTCCTGGCCTGAAAAACAGCTCCTCTGGCCAGGTTGTGGGTGGAAGAGAACCATCTTGCTCCTGCCTCCACTGGCACAGAAGTTAGGTAATTTAGAAGACAGATGATTTCTGCCTTCTTAAATGTTTAAGTAAAGGCAATGCTTTGCTTTAAGATGGACTGCAATACCAGTGCAGGCAGGAGCAAGATGGGTCGCTTCCACCCACAACCTGGCCAGAGGAGCTGTTTTTCAGGCCAGGAAGCACAGTGCCAGTTTATTGTTTCTTTGGACAGAACTACAGGTGTCCACCTATGAGGCTAGCTTCTACCACAGATCCCCAGAGTTCTGCAAAGCTCAGCTCAGCTCAGCTGATTCACCTGAGGTTGTAACACCAGAAGAAGCAGCGCAGGGACTCACGGAACAGACTCACACAGAATAAACTTACAATATCTCGAGAGGTTTTAAAGAGTTAAAAAAATTTCTTCTGGGGTAAAGATGTGAATGAATTGTGATTTAAATATATATATTCTTTGCTACTATCTAATAGGCATAGTGAAGAGGCTACGTTTTTTTTTTTTTTCTGTTTCTTTTTTTTAAATCACAGTACAGCCAAGCAACTTTGACTTTTATAACCTGTCTTTAGGCACTCATCCCCAGGCTCTGAAGCTACAATGTTATCTCTGAAGCAAAGGAAAATGAAGTGCAGGTCTGGGTTTATTTACTTGCTTCTTTTTGCTTTCCTCAGCCATCTGTGGAGGTGAGATACGTAAAAACGAGGGACAGATTCAGTCTCCTAATTATCCTGATGACTACAGACCAATGAAAGAATGTGTGTGGAAAATAACAGTGTCAGAAGACTTCTATGTGGGATTGACCTTTCAAGCCTTTGAGGTAAAGTCATTTAGGCAACCATCTCAGAACGGATCCTCCATAAATGACAGTGGCATTTAAGGGAATCCTCATTAAATAAGCAGAGAACCAGACAATCAGCTTTTTAGTCAGGGGAGAAGCAAAAGATTGCCTATAAAATGGAACATTAAGAGCAAAGAGGGTTTTTTCCTCCTTCCTTTTCTTTCCTCTTGTTGCAGACATTTTCAAGAAGATTAAAGTAAGTTTACATTATCATTGCTATTTGAATTAAAATGTTTGAAGTACTGACAATAGGTTTTTTTTTTTTTTTTTTGACAAATGCACAGACTGGTTTCACAAGACTGCTTGAAGGGGCCATTCAATAATAGAACTTTTATTTTTCTTCTAAATTGAAAGGTTAAAAGGTAGACCATCTTTTTGTTCTTGTTGTCAAGGGAAAAATCCATTATTTACCTTGTAGCCATTATGTAGGAAAGTGTTTATATCAGAAATAAGGTTTTAAGAGTTCTTAGGAACCTGACTTCATCAAAAATATTTGTCAGAGAGATCAACGCCACAATTGAGAAATGAGACAAGAATAGAATAAACCAAAGATCAGACAGAATTCTGGAACAAAGTCTGGGCTAAAACTACCAAACTGGTTAATGACTCAGTTGTGTGGGGTGGTAGGAAGGTTAGGAATTAGATGGTGAGAGCTGGGAGAATTTGTCAGGAACTCCAGGGTATGTTTCAAAGAAATGAGATCCCAACATGAAGTAGGAAGGCAAGATGATGGAGGCGTCCAGGCAGGGCTTAGAGATTCAGCAGTTAGAATAGGAGACATTTTCTTAAGTAATCAAAAGGCCAATTCACCATCCAGCCACTCAGAAGACTGTAGGCAACACCATTTGCTAGAAGGGTATACCTGTCACTTAGTCCTTTGACTTTGGTGATGTTTCTGGAATCTCCACGGGACTCCAGGCATGATCTGAAAGCCCAGAGAATCTCACACTCCTGCCTCCAAGCTGTGTGATAGTTATATTCTCTCTCTGCTTTGCAAATAGTTTTTACTTTCCTAGACCTATTTCCTTTTAGTATGAAAAGTGTATTTTTTTTTCTATTATGATCATGATGTATTTCCCACTCCTGACCAGTTTGGAATTTTCAGAAACCTTGGTTCTTAGATGATTTGATTTGCATTTGCACTTTTTTTCATTTTGATGGATTCTTAAGATTGTTAATATTATTCAAATAGACCGTTTCATTAACAGCAATCTAAAACTGGATAGGATTTACTTGTTATCTACCTAATGTTCACATTATCTGTACTTTGTGATATGACAAAACTTAAAAGCATAATTCTTTCAATATGTAATTCAACAAATTATGAATTTGACTTTAGCAGTGATGGAAAATGTATTCATTCCATGCATCTAAAAATTGAGGTGCAATTTCAGAAGTTGCTGACTTAGATGCTTAGGAGTCTTAAAATATTTCAACATAGTAACAGTAATATTCTTCAAAAATAAGATAGCAGAAGAATAAATAGGGAAGATGTATATCTCAGCCTCAGAATCAAACTTGATACAGAACATTTAATAAATATGTCAATGGAGTGAATGGATAAATTTTAGTAATTTTAAGATTGGGGAAAAGTTGTAGTAGTTTTACTGATAGTACATTTTATTTCTGAGGTCTGGGTCCCTGTCCTTTCTTCATTTTGCCTTATGAAAAATGAAGAAATACCTTAATTATGCTTCTTTCTCCTTTACTTATATAGAAATATTTTAATGTCTAAGAGACATTTCAACTTTAAATGGCCAATTCTTTTGTCTTCCTAAACCATCTCTTCTTCAGTCTTCCCTAATCCAGTGTTTATTATTTCCTAATAACATTTACTATTACTCAAGGAATAGCCCAACTTCCACTTTTTCCTAAATTTCCAAAGCAAAATTCATCTTCATGTTCCATTTACTTTGTCTCTTATGTATAGAGTATATTTATGTATACTCTATGTATACATATATGTAATGTATGTATACTCTATATGTAATGTATACTCTATATGTAATGTATGTATACTCTATACATAACTACTTTATGCCAACTTTCTGGCCACCTCTCTTATTCCATCCTTGCTCCTTCATTGGATAAAAGCCTCGCATCTCTGCTTTCCATATAGTAACAGGAATGATGCTGTATCATGTGAGTTAAGATCATAACACTACAATGCTTAAATTATTCCAGTCTTCATCACACCCACAATGAGATCCAGCCTCAGTTGTCATAGATCAGAGTAACCTGCAATTTGGCCCTGTGCTCATTCTCATTACCTCTGTGACAGCCACTCTGGTCTTTTTCTTCTTCAATAACATTGTGATTACTCCCCCATTATAGCATTTGCCACTGATGTTCTTCTCCTTCTAGATCTTTGCTTTAGTTCCTCTCTAACTTGGAGAGGTCTAATGGATGATGATGAGTTTTGTTTAATTTACACATTTTTAAATTAAAAATATTTAAATGTGTTGGTGGTAGGAAGACTATGGTGATCACCTCTAAGGGAAGAATATTTCTTGAATATTCTGGAAAGAAAATTGTGAAAACATAAATAGAGATATAAAGTAATGGTACATTATTAAAACAAGTAATGTTAGCATCCATCTCAGTATAATGCAATCACCAAGGGGGCTCACTCTGACCTGTTTTGTTAATTCCTCAGTCTACTGTACCAGTAGATAGATGTATGATTAATATTTGATGATGGGAGTGATATATTTATGATGGAATATATAACGGGTCTATGAGGGCATGATGGGGTGGATGGAAATTAATATATTTTTTTCTTACAAAAATGTTAGTTTTCATGTTAGGGATAGTAAACATGGATAGGTAGGAACATTTTGGATTATGGAGGACCTGGTATACTGTGTGACTGAAGTTAAACTAGAGATCCTTGGCTCTAAGAAATGCAGAAGTGACAAGGAATTTAGAGGTGTTCTAATATATCATCTAAATCTGGTAGATAAGCTTATGCCATTAACACTAGAAAGCAGTAAGCCAGCACTAAAATCCAGGTCTAACTAATATTTGTTATTCACTGGTTCTATATTTGCAAAATCTCTTCACTAGCATTTATTTATAACCCCAAGCCAATACTTGTGATGTTTTCATGCTTTTTGAGCATGCTCAGAGCAGTAAAATACTGTTGGACTTGTCTGATGCCCATAGTCTCATGTGGGAATTTCCCGAGGGGAAAATATTAGAGAGATAGCATCTTTTAGGCTTCTGTTAGACAACTCTTAATGGTGAGTTTAATGTTAGTGAATTGACAGTGTATATTAAGGTGTCTTTAAATGAAAGCATACACACAGGTATGTATTGATTGGTTGACAAGAATTTTGTGACCAGAAGCTCTCAGGAATCTAAGCCTGCATTTCCCCAGAAACAATGAGCAGCATTCACTATTGCAGTCTCCTCAGCTACTCTGTAGCCGCTTTACCAGATATACTAAGAACTGACTATATACAGTTTAAATTTGTTGTAGTCATCATTACAGGGTTTATTTCATTTAGTCTCTTATTTATGTCAATTCATTTTTGTTTCCATAATACACTTTTTTAAAAAAAATATTTATTTATTTATTCATATAGAACTGGGGTACAGGCCAGAGATGCGAAGGGTGAGAGGATTCACCAGAGACAGAGGGGGAGCAGAACAGGCAGATCAATGAAGTACACTGCTGAGGGGAGCAGTGGGCCGGTCAGGAGAGGTCTGCCTCCCCATGTGGATCTCTTCTGGGGCAGGCGGGAATCGAACTCATGCGAAAGTGGCTTAAGCTTCTTGGTGCAGTGCTTTAACCTGCTGCGCCACAAGGGAGGGCCCCATAATACACTTTTAATATACAGCTTATGCATTTTGTATATGAAGTGTTTACTTTCAGAATTCCCTCACCAAATCTGTGGTTCTCTCAGACAAAGCACATTTTTATTCATGATACTTATCTTTCATCTTTTAAAACCTTTTTATTTGGTAACTCTTCTATCTTCCATGTTAGTCTCTCTCTCTTTTTAAAATAAAAGGGCCTAGTAAATAAATAAACAACTAAGAAAGAGAGTACTTTAATATAAACAATTCCATCATCTCTTGGAAATCTGTTGTGAAGAATGCAGCTATCTGCCCATTACTTATCTTTCTATGAATTCAGGTCATGGCTTTACCTCTCCACACTACTAACATGAAAATGCAAGTAAATCTGAACAAGTGCCTTGGCTGATGAATGTTCAGGTCTTTAAGCAGGAAAGGCCAATATTTGGAGGGCCATTGAGTCCTGATTCTTTGGGAATCATACTTTTTTTTTTTAAGATTTATTTATTTATTCATACAGAACTGGGGTACAGGCCAGAGATGCAGTGGGTGAGAGGAATCACCAGAGACAGAATGAGGAGCAGAACAGGCAGGTCAACGAAGAACACTGCTAAGGGGAGCAGCGGGTGGGCCAGGAGAAGTCTGCCACGCCACGTGGTCACCTCCGGGGCAGGCGGGATCGAATTCATGCGGAAGTGACTTAAGCTTCTTAGTGCTGTGCTTTAACCCGCTGCGCCACCAGGGAGGGCTGGTAATCATACTTTTTAAAAGCTTTTTGTTCTTTCACTGATTCATTGTTTCCTGAGGAATACAGATGATATCTGAAATTATTTTGGAACTTGTTCTTTACTGAGTAGTAGTGCTCTTTGTACAACATTACTATTTTATTTGAATACTTCTGAGATGCAGAAGTATGGAAGAGAAAATATTTGGGGGACTAAAAATGTTTATAGTAACAGATTCAAAGAAATGTCAATAAAGCAGAAAAGAAAATTAAACCCACAGCTTACACAAGTTTACACTGAACTCTTCACATACATTAATTTAAGTGGGATTAAGTTTGAGGTACTTGTCAAGTTTTCTATACAACCCGATTTGGTGACACTTCTCTTATGAAAACTGTGATGTTTAATAGCCTTTCTCATCATTACTTCAAGCCACAGCATTTTAAACTATGTACAAATGTTTTTATCATTCTATTTAGTGGATTTCCTGACTAAAAGCAACCCTTTAATTCTTTAAAATATTTTGTGTTAGTTTAAGTACACTAGTCTTTGCAAGCCAAGAACAGAGACCTGAGGTAGTGTTTAAACTTGCATGTACTATTTTTGGTTTTTTAACTGTGATTCTAGCTTGGTTAATTACTATAAAAGAAAATAATTAAGTAACTGTTTAGAATTATGGCTTAGCTATAATATATGGCTTAGCTGGAAAGAATAGTATATGTTAGTTTAAATAAACTTGCCCCAGGTTACCCAATTCGTAATTGGTGACAGCATGATTGAACCCAATTCCATGGACTGGTATATTCTTGTTCGCAAGTCCTGGGAACAGACGTGGGTATTGTCTCTCTGCATTTAATTCTAGCTCTCCAGGGCTATCTTTATTTCTACATTTGTGTTATTTAATGATTATATGCCTGTATGTCAGTCATGTCTGGTTTATTCCCCACTTTTTATAATATATGCACTGCAACGTATTTATGTAGCCACAGTAGGTTTTCAATAAACATTTATTAAATGTACAAGTGAGTTAAAAATATTGGCCCTCCCTGGTGGTGCAGCGGGTTAAAGCACAGCACTGAGAAGCTAAAACCACTTCCGCATGAGTTCGATTCCTGCCTGTCCTGGAGGAGACCACATGGCGTGGCAGACCTCTCCTGACCCGCCCGCTGCTCCCCTCAGCAGTGTACTTCGTAGATATGCCTGTTCTGCTCCCCACTCTGTCTCTGGTGAAGCCTCTCACCACCCCTGACCCTCTGGCCTGTACCCCATCTCTTTATGCACAAATAAATAAATCTTTAAAAAAAAATTGTGTCATTAAAACAAATCAAGTGGCAGGATTTTTATTTATTTATTTATTTATTTATTTATTTATTTTCAAAGATTTATTTATTTATGCAAACAGAGCTAGGGTACTGGCCAGAGATGAAGGGGTGGTGACAGAGACAGAGTGGGGGCAGAACAGGCAGATTGTCAAAGTACACAGCTGAGGGGAGCAGCGGGCGGGTCAGGAGAGGTCTGCCACACTATGTAGTCACCTCCCTGGCTGGGGATCGAACTTGTATTGAAATGGCTAAGGCTAGCTTCATAGTGCTGTGCTTTAACGCGTTCTGCCACCAGGCAGGGCTGTGGATTTTAAATACTAAATCACATAAAAATGCACCTAACCAGGTTCATAATTCTGATTTTCACCTGACTGAACATCATAGTTGTAACTCCTCACTTTCTCTGAGAGGCAATTATCTATGAACTGTGTTAATTTAATTTAAATAGTAATAATACAATCTGTTACTAAATAAAATACTAAATATGATTATAGCAAATTTTAAAATCATATTCTGTGAACTCAGGACTTTTCTTATTTTTATCCAAAATTTCTCCTGTTGATAGCACCATTTCTAAGATATTACTGGATTTTTACCATAATTAAAGTTATTTTTTTAATGATCAGTGCTACTTCACATTGTTTTAGAACCCTCTTTCACATTTCCTCCCATGCATGGTTCTAAGTATATAGATTTTGAATTCTATTATCTCTAAAAGCTTAGTAGTGTATGTAGCTGATGGTATTACTTGTATTTTAGAATGACATTCCTATAGTCTTGAGAGAAGCTTTTAATTTTTGTGATAAAATAGATACAACCTAAAATTTACCATCCTAACCATTTTTGCAGTATAAAGTTCACTAAGCATTAAATGCATTCAAATATTTTTGCAATAAATCTCCAGAACTCTTTTCATACTGCAAAAACTGAAAATCTAAACTAATAGATAATCATCCCCTTTCTCCTCCTCCCAGCTCCTAACAACCACCCTTCTATTTTGTCTTGATGAATTTGATACTCTAGTTTCCTCATGTAACTAAAACCATTTCAAACGTGCTTTCTTGACTCAGTGTAAAATCCACAAGGTTCATTTATATTCTAGCCCATGAAAAGATTTCCTTCCTTTCTGAGACTGAGTACTGTTCTTTTGTATGTATACACCACATTTTGTTTATTAGCTCATCCTTTGATAGGCATTTGAATTGCTTCCACCTTTTGATAGTTGTTTATAAGGCTGCTATGAACACGGGCATGCAAATACCTCTTCAAGTCCCTGTTTTCAGTTTATTGGCTCTATAACCAGAATTGGGATAGCCCGATCATATGGTAATTCTATTCTCAACTTTTAGAGACCATGAGAAAGTTTTATTGAAAGTATTACTTAGAGAAATTTTTTTTTTTAATTTTTTTTTAATTTTTTTTTTATTTTATTTTATTTTTTTTTAAAGATTTATTTATTTGTAC